TACAAGTACAGGTGCAGAGTGCTGCACTTATGGTGCAAAAGTATCCAGCACACTTACTGGCTGGGAAGTGACCCACTCAGCAGCACAGAAGTGGAAAGAGATCTCAGAGTCACAGTAGCCTCCAAGATGAACATGAGTCATCAGTGTGACGAAATCATCAGCAAAGCTAACTGCACTTTATCATGCATCAGCAGATGCAAGAGAAATAGATCCAATAAGGTGATACTTCCTCTCTATGTGGCATTGGTCAGACTGCAGTTGGACTACTGCATCCAGTTTTGGGCACCATACTTCAAGAAGGATGTTGATAGACTCGAGAGGGTCCAGAGGAGGGCCACTCATATGGTTAGGGGCTTACAGGACAAGCCCTATGAGGAGAGACTGAGGGATCTGGACCTCTTCAGCCTCCGCAAGAGAAGGCTGAGAGGTGATTTTGTGGCCGCCTACAAATTCATTAGGGGGACGCAGCAAGGGATTGGAGATACTCTGTTCACCAGGACGCCTCTTGGGGTAACAAGGAACAATGGTCACAAACTGACAGAGAGCAGATTTAGGCTAGACCTCAGGAAAAACTCCTTCGTGGTAAGGGTGGCCAAAATTTGGAATGGGCTTCCAAGGGAGGTGGTGCTTTCCGCTACCTTGGGGGTCTTTAAGATTAAACTGGATAGGCATCTGGCTGGGGTCATCTGACCCCAGCACTCTTTCCTGCCTAGGCAGGGGGTTGGACTTGATGATCTTTTGAGGTCCCTTCCGACCCTAGCATCTAAGAATCTATGAATCTATGAAATTCAGCATTCAAACTTTGATCATGGATTTGTTCCAAAATGAACAGTGCTGACATGCCAAAATTAAGCCCACGTAAAAAATATATAATGTTTTAGAGTTGGAAACCTGTTCTACCCGTGTTCCTTTGACATGCTTCCCCCAAAAATCATGTTTGGATTTGACAAGATGGCAAACCTCTGTTAAAAAAAAATTGCTTATACTAATCTTCATTTAAAAATCTAAACTATAAATAAGAACTATAGGAATATAGAAAACATAATTCAACAAGATGATATTTGCAGAGGGCTGCAGATGCACTATTTTATAGAGTAACATAAATATTCTGTTATGTAACTGGTAATATTCAGAGTTACACGTGATCTTTATAGCTGACTGGCCCTTTAACAGTATTTTTTTTAACTTAGAGAAGTGCTGTTTCAGCTTCATTTTATGAAACAATGGTGATGTCCAGTGCCTAATCAAATTAGGTTAATCAGAAACATTATCCCAGTGGATGTGTCCTGGGCTTTGATTCCTATTTAAAGGTGTCATTCTGGCTTTGAATCAGATTTCAACTCCTTGTTGTAGTCAGCGCTTGTGTAATTGTTGCCTAATTGCATTTTTTAAAAATGTTGGAGTAGCTATTTACAGCATGGGACATCTTGTATGTCCTTCCTATTAACTTTTACAAATTGCCAAGCCACTTAACTATGGAAACGCAATAAAGATAACCTAGAGATATGCACTCCTGAAATGCCTTTCTAGTCACACTTGCTAACCACAGCCATCTGCAGATATTGAAAATGCATTTACTGGAGGATGTGACCCAGTCAGTAGGGGAAAAGTGTGTTCTATATGAGGACTTTGACTTGTAATAACCCCAGAATTGCATGATATAAATCTAAAGTGGACCAGAAAATATTTTCTTGAAGTTTCTATAAAATCAGACAAGAAGGAGTACTCCTTTAAACACTAGGCTTTATCCAGTTAACAGCTGTAGTTGTAGGACTGTCAATTCATTAGAGAACTACTGGAATGTCTCTCAAGAAAACCAATGCAAAGCACTGGAAATCAAATCAATTTTCAAAACCTAGAAACTAAAATTGAAAAATATTAGCAATACACTCACAATGATGGTAAACAACCTGGAATGAACAGAATCAAAATTAAACTAAAACATATAGGTCAGCAACAAGATTTCAAGGGAAAGAAAATAATGATGAAATAGGGATTATGGGGCCACCAGAGGACAGAGAGTATGACAGAAAAATTAAATTGGATGGTTACAACTTGTTCCTAAGGACAGAAAGGTGGGGGGAAAAAGGGGGTGTAACATTTTTCCATCAGACATTGTTAGTTGTTATAGGTCGTAAAAGATTCAGAATCCTGGGTCCTCAACTGGATCAAAGTTCTAACTATTAATAATAAAAATGGGGTTCCAATGGGCATCTCCTGCAGACCACCAGTTCTCATTAAAGAGTAAGATAACCTGCTCCATAAGCTTTTTGTCTCTAATCTGTAGAAAGAAAAACTAAGTTATTGCTCATTTTAGCTGAGAGGCATGTATTCAAGATCTCATCTTGCCTGGAGTTTAAAAATAGTGGATGATAATTTCTTACAAAGAAAGTCCAAAACTTAACAGAGCAATTCAACGTCTGATATCATTTAGATGGACAAAATAGCAGTAGCCTAGGAATTGGTGATTATAACCTGTGTACATTTATTTTATGTGAACAGAATTCTGAACCACCCACCAATATTTTTTCTTGAAACTTTAAGAGGGTCAGTATCTCAAAGCTTAAATCAGTTATCAGCATATGAACTGAGAACATCACATTGGAAGTGACAATGACAACTTAGTATAGTTTATGGACATCCCCCTTACAGTATGACTGTACAAGCATGAAAAAGTAAAATAACACCTAAATAGAAAGGAGATGTGGAAGTCATTATATGAGATAAAAAGATCAAGATATAAAGAATGGGAAAAGGGGAAAGTTAAAAAGAATGTTGGAGATTGTCAACAGAAACTAACGTAATCATTGAAATGTCACTGCCCAAAGAAGGCACACTTAAACATATTTGGAACAAGAACCCCTCTTCCCCCCCACAACAAAAACAAACAAAAACCCAACCCTGAGGTCATTCATAGGTCCAATGCCAGAAGCAGATAATAAAATCATAAATAGCAATGCATTAATATTCAATATCCATCTCATTGATATTGAAATAAAAGGTTTACCATCTGTAACAAAAATGATGTGAAGCACCATCTACTAACATTTTAAAAAGTATCAAATAAACAGAACTGGTTAACTTATATCCAAAAGTCCTAATATTTGAGGAACTTTCTGAATCACTAATGTTAATTTCTAAAAAAAATCTTAGAAAACTGGGGAAATTCAAAGTAATTCCAGTATTTTAAAATAGTTAAAGAGTTGACCTAAGGAATAACAGTTTGATGCCAGTTCCATGAAAAATGATTAAATGATTTATTTTGGACTTTATTGATAGAGGAAATACACCAACAAATCCACCTCAGAAAAGATTAGAGTCTAAAACTGTAATTTATGATAGTCAATATGGTCTCACAGAAAGTAGTTCTGGTCAAACATAACTGTGATAAGGGTTTCTCTTTTTTTCTTTTTTTGAGATAAGAATGTAGGATGATATAGCATAATTAGATTCTTTTAAAGGCATTTGATTCAAGTACCACATGTCACCTTGACTAAAAATCTTTCTTTCTATGGTAATACAGGATACATAATAGAACTCAAAATGCAGTTGTTGATGGGGACAGGTGGGTTTCATGTTAGAAGGAGCCTCCAGGAATCATTTTTGTTCTATTTCTATTTCTATTACCACTAGTGATCTAGATAATTTATAATCCTTGCTCGTGAAACTTGTAGATTACATGGAAACTAACATGGCTAACTACCTCTCTAAGCTGCATAGAGACTGATAGGATAGTAAATACAGTAGCTTCACTAGGCGTGGGCAAGCAGAGAACCAGCTCCAGGTACCACCTTAATACGAATGCTGGTACCATGGAGGTGCCAGTACCATGGTTGTAGTGGCAGCAACAACAAGTGTGGATAGATCATACTGTTGCAGGAGCAACTGGGGCCTTTGAATCTCTAGAGCAGGTAAGATTCTAGGGCTGCCCCTCTCTTTTGGGCTCCTGGCACCCCCTTTTCAAATCCTCTCCAGCAGGGGGTTGTCCAGGGTACAAACCCTGCCAGTTAGGCTACTGAGTAAATTAATCAGGAGGACTGGTTACCACTGGAGAGTGATCTGAACTCTCTGGTTAAATGGTCAGCATCCAGCAACATTTGTTTTAATATGTCCAAAGTCAGGTGTCTATATTTCAGGAGTACAATAATGGGAGACAGTATAAAGGAAACACACAAAAATGATCCAAAGGTTGGAAAACAAGCCTTATGATGTTCGTATCTTAAGGAGCTTAATCTATTCAGCTCAAAACTAAACTTGAGAGGTGATTTAAAAAATATAAATGAAAAAAAGAAAAGAAATATATATCTGATTGCAGGGCCCTTTTTAGTCTTACACATGAAGGCACAATGAAGTCAATGGTTGGAAGTTGAAGTTAGAAAAATTTAAACTTGAAACAAGACCTGGTCTCTTAGCAGTACGAATAACTTTGGGAAGTGGCTCACTATTGCTTGGAAGTTCTTTGCATGACACGAACCCTAAAAAAACTTGAGTGGGGACTGAACAGTTAGCATTATCCCCTGATTATAAGGCAAGTCTTGGCAGCTCCTAAGTATTGCATAGCCACTTCTGGAGGTGTTCCATTCTCAGTGTATGAACATCACCACTTCGGCTACAGTGCTTCACTGATACAAGCAGTTCTGCTGGACTTCATATTGCTGTTAGGCTGGTATTTGGTCCATCACTGTACAGTATTGTGGTACCTGTAAAAGATATATGCATATCAAAGCCATTTGTTGAAGACGAGGAAATTTGGGGAAAAAAATTTAATGTGAATAATGTTTTCTTTTAGGGCTTGCTTTTATACTGTGATGTCATTGAATCAACATTTGAAAAGGAAAAACTGCCAAGTAGAAGAGTTGATGCTTTGGATCATTTTCAGAAATGCTTTGCAATTTTAAAATTACATCAGCAAAGAACAGGCAACAGCAATAGCAATATATCCAAAGAATCTGATAAAGCAGAAGTCAAAGACTGGAAGGCAATCCGGGTGGATCTGGTCATAAGCCCCTTTGAACAATATGCATATGCTCTGTTAGGTTGGACTGGCTCCAGGGTAAGTAATAAGAAAAGCTGACATTTTTCTTTGAGCTACTAACCTATTTTTTGAGGTTGTAGGGCTATTCAGAGTTCATGGATTTTTAAATGTTCTTTCTCCCTGCATTTTTGTATTATTTTCTTTACATCCTCTCATCAACAGGCTATCATAGCCTACACTTCACACAATCATCACTGATATTTGTATTCTTTATTCTTTATATTCTTTTGAGTATAAAATTCACTTAAAAAACAAATATTTCTTCTAAAAATGGCCTCTGTCTTAAATTCATGTAAAACCAAAACAAAAATACCCAAAAGCCCTTTTATATGCACAGTAGAGGTTGTATCCTTGTAAATGTGTCTTTATGTGGTGTTTTATTTATTCCTAAATTGGGACTCAGAAATTGTGGGTGCATCTTAAATTCGAGGGTGTCTTATATATGGTATTTGGTATATGGCATATATAGTATTTGCCTGCCTAAAGAAAATTAACCTTACTCTTCATTTGAGGTTTCATTTTTAGAAACCATGGAACAGACTTTTGGCTGGCCTATGGCCCCATTACATTCCTTCAGCACTGCAAAGGGTTGCAGAGGGGACTTCCTGAGGTGACAGGAAATTTTATTTCAGGAAAAGAATGTTCCATATTGGAATGAAAATTCAACATTTGAAATGTCTATTGAGATTTTATTTGGGAGCAGTCAAAACTTTTTGTTTCAATTAAACCTTTAATCAATATTGCTTTATTTTTACATTTTTAAATTAGTGTTTAAGAATAACTGTAAAATGATAAAATAAAATCATTTGTGACTGGCATCATAATCCGTAAACCTAATGTGAATTCAGCAAATGCAGTTTATACTGAAGGAGCTGAAACACAGGAGAGAACCTGGCACAACAGCTTTGATTCACTATTACATGGGTCCAGTTTTACTTTTGTAGTTGCATTAGCAGAGTAGATACCAACTGGGATTAAGATGTTCAAGAATCTGGAAGTGAAATATATGTTGTGTTTCTATTTATCCAGAACTATAGTTCAGCACTTAATTTACTATAGAAAATACCAACTTTTTCCTTTTTATCATCAGGCAGCACATTCCAGTGCATGTTTTGCTAAGGGGCCTATATTGTAAAACAGACCTCAGTAGTTTATTAAAGAAAGAGAAGCCTCATTAATGAATTCCCCTTAGGTTAATCACTTTATAAGTCTTTTTTAGAAAGATATTGGAAATACCTGATCATTTCTCTTGCCCAGTTGTAAATCTCAATTCTAATCTCCTAAACCCTTCTATTTAATTCTCAGGAACTTAAATCTGCCTCCAGTTTAGGTTTTAAAATTGTATTTCCAAACTTGTTTCAGGTCCTGTAGGCCCACCTCCCTCCTACCTGTGGAACATTTGGCGGTTGGGAAGGATCTTTTTCCCCTTCATTCCCAGGCACCAGGCTAGCACACATACCAAATATGTGCTTTTCCCCAATCCTCATGAACCCCATTTGGACAGCTAGGTCAGAGCTCTCTCAGCTTTCTCCATGCCACTGGAAAAACCTAAAGAAAGCAAGCCTTTTCTGACTTAGAAAAATAGGATGATTTATAAACAAACTGGGATTCTACTATGTGTTAATTTAAACAGTTCTTTGTTTTAATAGGCGGCTATTACCAGGTAATATGATGCTTTATTTTATGTCAAATAATGCCCCTTTGAGAGATCATCTGGTGTGGGACTATCAGGGATAAGTTAGGGAAAAATGCAATTTTGGAAAATTGCTATGTTGGATACCTTAATGTTACCTGTACAGTAATGTAGGACTGACTGACTATGCTTTTTATATCACATATTTTCAAAACTATTTTTAAATGTGTATAATTACCTATTACTGCAGGCAGTAAGAATATAAATCATTGTGCTGCCAATTTAATTACAGGATAAACCAATGTATTGAAATGCATGTCTCAGATAGCATTTTTTCATGAATGTCTTGTTTAGCCTGACTGAATCTGTCCAGAATATGGTCTCTGAGTGAAACCACATAATTTTATAATGTGTGTTTTAACATGTGAATTGTTTTTAGAATGTTTATGTAGGCAACAAAGTAGGCACTCATTTAGGTTTGTATCATATTGTGAATTTATTATGTATTGTACAGCAATTTGAACGTGACTTACGAAGGTATGCCTCTCGTGAAAGGAAGATGATGTTGGATAACCATGCCTTATATGATAAGACTAAGGTACAGTTTGCTTTTTGAAATAAGACTATAATGTCAGAATTCTCCAGGATACATTTTCAGTTTATGCTACTTCAATGCAGTGTACTTTGGCGTTCCTCATTCCCTATACACCATCCACTTTTTGCAACAAATTAAACAAGGATTCCTCAGATAAGAACCTCCTTAACTGAACGTCTGTCTTGTATTCATACTGAATGATTTTTGAAGTATTTATTGACGTAATTATAAGAGCAGGCTGAAATACCCTGTCCAAACTAACATTAATTTCCTCTGTATATAATCTTAAAGAAAGGAGGCTAGGGCAGATTCACTACATATCTACATGCAGATAAAGAGGAGACATCTTTGTCGGCATTGTTACAGTATGCTGTTCTTTGTGAGAACAAGTAACTAAACACTGCATATCAACTAGCTCCTTATTCGCTACTCATTTTCAAATGTCAGTGAACTTTCCATTTATATAGAAACATTAAATCATTGTTCATTTAATCTAGTACCCTGTCTCTAGCAACTCGCAAGATTAGATACTTCAAAAACAATTAAAAAAATCCCTCCATGATGGATTATGTAATAAATTGATCATTGGAGAAATTCTTAATCTCTAGTGATACTGTATTTTTGCATGCCATGTGTGCCCCCTTTGTAAAGCATTCATCTTTGTTTTTGGAAGGCAAAATAGGGATTTTTTCCCCCCAGAATCATGGCATAGTGTTGACTCCTTTTCATGGAGAGTCTGTGCTAAAAAATTCACTTTCTGTCTGGGACAGCAGGCAAGTGCACAGAGGCAGGGCACATCCACATGAGTGCACATGTGTCTCTTGCCCTGCCTCAAACCCCTTTGCAGAACGGGGAGAAAATTTGACCCCAAGGGTCTAAAAAAAAAGCAAAGTATAAAAAAGTAGGGGAGGCAACTGGAGGCTGGGTCCTTCATAGAGACACTCTGGCTGCCAGAGCATCTCTATGGTTGGCCCCTTGCCCTGGTGCTGAAACACGCGGCTGGCCAGGCTGCATGTTTCAACACTAGGGCTCTGGTGAGTAAGGGGTTGTGGGGGCTGGAGGAGGGGGGAGGGGACTGTGGGGGGGGAC